ATTGGGATGTAACTTTTAATTTAATACATATTTGCTAGAAGATCAAGCAAACACACAGATGAAATGAGGAAGCTGTAAGAACCGTTCACAAATGTCCCGGTTTTCTTCCTAAACACTGGACAAGATAATCCCTTCCCTGCCTGCCCACTTTGAAGTTAGCAGTGTCCGTGTGCCTGTTTTTTGCCAGGAAAATGTGTGCAACAGTAATAAGTACCACTTTGGGGCAGAGTTTTTTTCTTGATTGTTCGAGACAGGGTTTCTCTGTAGCTTTGGAGCCTGTCCCGGGACTAGCTCTTGTAGACCAGGCTGGCCTCGAACTCACAGAGATCCTCCAGGGCAGATGTTTTAAAGGCAAGTGTCAGTGTCCATTTCTGTTCCTTTCCGTAACCACAATTAAAGAAGTACGTTGTTGAAATGGAGTTCCACCAACCTCAATTCCAAATGGTGAGGAGAATTCCTGCTCCCTTGTTCTAGACATCCATAAAATCTGGAACGGTGTCAGTGGAAGAAGGTGGTTACAGAGAGGGGAAGGGGACACGCATGCGGAGAAAGGTGAGAGAGAGCCGCTGACCTCCGTTAGAAAGCTCCTGGCTCTTTCTGGCTCTAACCCTTACTCCTGTGTAATCCTAGGGAGTGGGGTAGGGCTCCATCCTTAGCAAGAGCTCTAAACAGAACACTTAGTAAAATGCTGCCAAAATGAATATTGAAAATTTTTTGAGTCAAGGAATAGGAACAGTTTGGCTCTGAAATGCCCCCCACAGGCTGAGGTGTTTGGAAAGCTTCCCCGGCAGTGGGCGCTGTTTTCATCAAGCTGTGGGCCCTTTGAGATGTGGGGCTTCTCTGGCGGAAGCAGTCACTAGGAGTGAGCCAGCTTTTGGCTCCAGCCTGTGCTTGCTGGCATGGTCTCCTCCATGTGGATGAGCCACCACTGCACGCTCCTGCCACTGAGTGGAAGCTGCTCCTGCTGCCAGGAGTGTCTTCTAAAGCTGACCCCAGACAACTTTTCCTCCCTTAGGTTGCTTCTGTTGGTTCATAAAAATAACAGTACCCCTTTCAGTATTTTCTTTTTTCTAAGACTGAATACCAGGCAGCCCAGACTGACCATGAATTTGCTAGGAGGAATTTGCAGAGGAGGGGATCTTTGATCTGTATCCTTCCTCCTCTGTCTCCCGAGAGCTGGGATTCACAGGTACTCTACCACTTCCAGCCGCTGTGGACCCCCATAGGCCCGGATGTGAAGGCTCTGATGCCAGCCTGTCGTGCCATTGAGAGAGGGCAATAGTGGAAGGGTAAAGAGGTGGTCTGCTGGAGGAAAGGGCAGTTAGAGGGAATACCCTTTGAAAAGGATACTGGAATCCCAGCCGCCTTTCTCTACTCTCAGTCCCGACTACCATTGTGTGAGCGGCTTTGTCCATCCACTCCCACCGTGGCTTTGCTCCGTCCACTCCACCGCGGCTTTCCGCTCTCCCAGGTCCACAGCAATGGACCATAGATGAAAAGCCCTGAAGCCATGCCCCAAATAACCCTTTTCTCCTTTGAAGTTGCTTGTCTCAGGTATTTTGTCACTGTCAATGGGAAACCAACGAACACAATGGCTTATACCTTTTAATAAATGTTACGCCATAAAACATGTTTTCCCATTTCTAGTTCATCCTTGTATCTAAGCCTAAATGTTTTATCCAGCCAGAGATTATTGCTCATTCACTTCCAATATTTCCCCTGACTGGACTCTTTTTCTCATGTTTGACTTCCTTTATATTGTGAAATGTATTCATATCAATTAAATCAGAGTATAAATGAAAAGCAAGTTAAAAGTGAACAAATTATTCTCTTTAATAGTAAGGTTTTTAATAGTAAGTAGCTCAATGTGTTTAGATTCTTTAAACTTACTATTATGTGGTAGAAGACACCAATTTAAATGATTTTTTTCAAGATGTCTAGCCAATTATCCTGTCATTTTATAACTGACCTTTTATTTTTTTATTCATTACGTTTTTTGACCAAATATGTTTTTATTTCCATGTACCCATTTTATATTTTATGATTATTTGTTTCTTTGTACAAGTATATCTTTTGAAAGACTGAAGTGAATTCAAAATTTACTTAGCCCAATACCACTTTTGGTATTTGGGTTTTGCCGATGTGTTTAGGGAAAAGTATTAATATCAATGAGGTCAGTGCCTCCCTTTCGTGCGGTGTTATGTTTGAATATAAGAATGTCCCAAGCCGGGCGGTGGTGGCGCACGCCTTTAAGATGGATCCCTGTGAGTTCGAGGCCAGCCTGGTCTACAAGAGCTAGTTCCAGGACAGGCACCAAAAACTACGGAGAAACCCTGTCTCGAAAATCAAAAAAAAAAAAAAAAAGAATGTCCCAGAGTCTCTTGTGTTAGAGGTTTGGTTACTAGCTGACAGAGTTTAGCTCGTATTGACTCTCATTAGTAGATGTGTCAATTGTTGATAGCTCATGATTGAATGGGGGGGAACCAGATAGAGACGAAGCAGACCACTGGGCACGCCCTTGAAAGAAATATTTTCTCTCTGCCTCTTCCTTTTTTCTTTGCTTTCTAGCTTGCAAAAGGTGAGAAAGTTTACTCTGCAATGCATTCCTGCCATCCCTTACTTGACACAAGCCTGCAGCAGTAGGCGAAGTGACCTTGTGCAGAAGTCTGTGAAACTATGAGCCAAATACACTATTCCTCTCCAGCCGTTTTCCTTAGGCATGCTGGGAAAAAGAGTAAAACGAGTACTTGTAATATGGCAAGCACAGTGACCACTCTACTAGTCTTCCAACTTTTGTGTGGCTTTGGAGAGTTCTGGGCTTTTTTAGTAGGGTGAAAGAATTTTAACAAACTTTCAAAAATTGAAGTAAAATTCACTCATAATGAAGTAAGTTTGAATTTAAAAAACCCTGCCTTTAAAAAGAAGAAGAAGAAGAGAAGAAGAAAGCCATAAGGCAGTCTGGAAAGCTTTATCAATAAATGTAGATCCTGTAATTTGGGGGGTGTGGCTCAGTTGTCAGGCGCACTCGCTGCGCTCACAGAGGACCTCAGTCTGGGTCATAGCACCCACATCAGGCTACCCACAACCACCTGAAGCTCCAGCTCCAGGGCAACCCAATGCCTCTGGTCTGCACAAGAACCTGCGTTCACATGCATGCGCCCGTGCATATATGCACATAATTAACATAATTATAAAACTATAAAAGTAAATACATCTGTAATTTTAAATAAATACAGCTAAATTTATTAGGTATTTTCATTTTGTTCTGAAGTGCTGGTGGTTGAATCCAGAGCCTCCCACAGGTCACGCAAACACTCTTGCTACTTAGCCACATCCTCAACTTTCAAAAATGCTTACTCAATCATTTATTATTGTGTGGGTAGTGTGTGTGTGTATGTGTGTGTGTGCTGGGAGCAAGTACACTTGTAGAGGTCAGAGGACTGTGTTCAGGATGTTCAAGGACTGAACCCAGGTTGTCAGGTTAGGCCTTCTTTTTGGCATATGTACATTTGAGACTTGGTTTCTTTGTGTCACTCTGGTTGACCAAGAACTCACTAGACAAGGTTGACCTCAAGCTTTCCGAGCCCTCTGCCCCTACCTCTGAAGGGCTGGGGTTTATTGGTGTCTATCACCCTGCCTGACTTACATAGACCTTTTTCTTTTCGTTTATACTTTATATAGTTTGTAGAACTTCTGTAACTGTCCGAGAATAAAGTATAAAAAAACACGAAATAATATTTGAATGAATAGCTAAGATATAAATATTAAAGAGTAAGATTGTACCAAAACAAAAGAATACAAAAGAAGAAACTTGCTTGAAAGGACACATGTGTGCGTGGATGTGTGTGTGTGTGTGTGTGTGTTTGCGTGTGCGTGTGTGTGTGTGTAAAGCAAATGCCTAAAATATTTAATGAAGCATTGCAAAATAAGTCCCTCCACCCTGTCACAAGGGAGGCAGAGTCAAGGTTCAGACAACGTTGTTTAGAAGCTTTGGAACCGTGTGTTTAAAGAATGAGAGAGGTTTGCCATGACTTGCTGCCAAGCACATCACAAGCTTAGCATGCGCTTACTGCCTGCTCTCAGAAGCTGCCTGCGCAAGCCAGCTAGCTGCTGACATTCTGAGTACTGTCCAGCTAGGTCTCAAACTGTGTCACAAACCCATTTCCCAAAAGGTCTCCAGAGATTATATGCTGTCTTCTCCATCTCTAGGATTGTTGGTTCTGTTCTATAAAACTACTTAATTTTGACATTAGGTCATGTTTTTAAAAATTTAAAGATGAAAATCAGTTTAATATTTATAAAAATTTAAATGTTTTGTCTTTACTAAGCTACTTAACCTTCCTGACAGATATGCTTATCCCATGAACATCTCATGCTGTGTTGTGAGGTAGCATTCCATCTTCCCAAAGAAACCTTAAGTCATAACAAAAACAGCTAAATGTGTGCTAAATGCTCTGGATATCCCAGGCATGGTGCTTTTGAAAGTCTCTTTTAATTCTCATGGGTATTTCTGAGAAGAAAATGACTTGAAAACATCTTCCTGACTCCCCAACCCCACCCAGTCCCTTACTGGCACAATTTATGGACTAAAAGCAGTCACCCGAGAACCTTGCTTCAGAGAACAGATGAGCAATGTCTCCAGGAGAGCGCAGGCATAAGAACATGCAGCCTGTTGTAAGGACAAGGTGGTGCAGTCTTCCCTAGAGCCTGAGAAAACAGCCTCTGTCTTGTGCATGGAGAGTCAGAGAATAAGAAGCCTTTGCCTCTCTCAAGGGGGGTGAGGGGGGCTGAGTTTCCAGCTTGTCCAATTTCACCGTGAAATAGTAGTTCTTGAAATGTTGTCCCATACCAGAAGCGATGACATCACCTGGAAACTTGTCAGCGCTTGTTAGAAACGAAAATTTTAAACCTTAACTGCAAGCCAGATGAGTCAGATCTCTGAAAATGCGACCCAGCCTGCCACATTTTAACGAAGCCACCAAGACTGTGATAAACAAGACAGAGAGTGGCTAGGAAAGCCGTCTTACTGTCCTCCTCTTGGCTGATTTGACGGTGTTAGAGACATAAGGCACCTGGCCTGTCGAGATGCTGTAGCCCTCATGGCTGTTTGTAAAGCACAGAGAGTTAGAATGCCTGTGATAAGCTCAGTCATTTCAGGGAGATTCCCCAGCTGGTCAATCAGAAGGGAGGGCTGGAAAAATAAAGATGGATAATAATGTTAATCCCAGTTACAGTTCTACTAGTGTCTCTAATAATGCTTGAGACCTAAAGAAGTTTTATTTGAACTCTGAACTATCTAATCCCAAGTCCTTTGTCTTTCACTTCGTATTTTAATTTAGTCTTACGTATTCCTCAACTGGTTCTGTAGAATGTTGTTGTACATTTGGTTTCTTTTAAATTATGATATAACATTACAGAGATCACATAAGGCAAGTACACACGTCTAAGTGTACAGGGTACACACACACACACACACACACACACACACAAATACACACATATTTGTATAGAAAGAAAGGGAGAGATCGCTATACAGTTGCATATATTTCATTGCCCAGATAACACTTATATAATTACCACCTTCCAGAACAGCACCCCGAAACCCCCAAATGCCTCTTTTCTTCTTGAAGGTGACCATAAACTGGAGTCCTGTGATAATTGTTTACTCGTTCTTGCCTTGATAATTATTCTCAAACCACGTAGTTTCTTGTTTTCTTTTCCTGCTTTGAACTTCACAGGAAATATAAATCATGCTGTGCGTGTTCTTTTGTGCCCTGCTTCTGCTCAACATTGTACTTGTAACATCCTTTGCTATTGTGTGTCATCATTCATTGTCATGGCTGTATGGGTGTCACTGAGTTCTGATCAGCATTTTTCTGGGACTGACTTCTTTATTCCGTCACTCCCCAAGCGGCCCCCACCTTCTCTCTTCATCCCCAGTCTGCCAGACTGCAGCCATAAGAGTCTTTCTGAATACAGTACGACCATATCCCTCCTGCAAAAGGAAGCTACAGGAGAAGAAGGGCTGCGAGTGAGGTTACCAACCACCACACTATTCACGGCTCTGGGGATGCTTTTGAGGATGGTGGATTTTATTCTAAAGGCAATAAAAAGCCCAATCTGGCTGGTAGTCTTTGCTTTCTAGTTTCAAAAACCTCTACCCTAAAGTCCCCAAATTATCCAATTAGACCCTTTGATGATTAGACCTACACAAACAACCAAGTTTTCTAGGCCTGCATTATGAAGTGGTGCGTAGGTCTTTGGGATTTTAACCAAACACGCTTAGTTAGCATAAAGCAGACAGGCACAGTCAGAACATAAAAGAGAGAGGGCAGCATTTTTTATTGCTTGTTGTACAAGGGATGCGAGCCCTGGGGATAAGTCCTAAGGCAATGACTCTTTCCAAATAAAGACAGTAAGGGCCTCCACTAGAGAAAACCCATCATGACTCATCATGTTAGGAGGAAAGACTGATCACCACATGTGGAGGTGGACACATTCCTGACCATGTTTCACAAGTCACATGTTCAAACCTGGCCAATGAAAACAGTATCTGCATATGTGAGATTATAATGAGCAAGGTTTACACTCTCAGATGTGTTCCACCTGCGGCCCATGGACTCACAGTCTACAAAATTGCTTAGTCACCCTGACTGTCTTCTAGGCGATATGGAGTGAGCTTTGCTCATTATAATCTTATTTATTACTTAATGCTCCACTTAGGAGATTTGCCAGTTTTGGGCGTATGATATATGAAGAAGCGTCATATCAAAGTGATCATGCCCAGGGATATGCCCTCCTCTACATATGGTGAACAATTTTCCCTTGCTTGCTTTCTTTGGAGAGAGACATTGCATTAGCAGTTATACCAGTGCTTGTTTCTTGTAGTTTCTGGTGGCCCAGGTATGCCTTGGCTGTGACTGCCTAACTTCTGTCTCTCCCTGCATCTTACACGGCTATGTCCTTGTATCTGTCATTCCTTTCTTGTGTAGACAGTGCCGTTGAATAAACTAAACCTAATCAAGAATATTGTTCCAACACCCTTAACTGTATCTACAAAAATTCTTTTTCCAAATATGGTCATATTCATAGGTTCCAAATGAACATATCTTTTAGGAGGACACTGTTCAACTCACTGTAGAACCTAAGTAACCTATTAAGAGGCATATGAACTATTTGGAGGGCTACGATGAATGAAGTTACCCTAACTAATTATATGTAGCTAAGGCTTTTAAACCTATATTTTTTCTCTTATAATTTCCAAATGTCCCAGTTCTGATTGCCTTAATATTATATATAGCTAATTTTCTTTTAAATAATAATTACCTATTGTTGATGAGTTATTTATTTTTTACTCTTTGGGGGCCCACCACCCAGTTCCCAAGTAAATTCACAGAGACTTATTCTTACTTACAAATGACCAGCATTAGCTTGAGTTATTTCTAGCCAGCTTTTCTTAATTTAAATTATCCCATCTACCTTTTGCCTCTGGGATTCCATCTTTCTCTATTCCATATGCCTTTCTTTCCTTCTTACTCCATGGCTGGTCATGTGGTCGGATGGCTGACCCATGTTGTCCTCTCTCTTTCTGCTTAGCTCACTCCTCCTCCTCTCTTCATCTCTATTTATTCTCTCTGTGTGTCAGCCCCACATATCCTTTCTCCTGCCTAGATAGTGGCCATTTAGCTCTTTATTAGACTAATCAGATGTTTTAGGCAGGCAAAATAATACAGCTTCACAGAGTTAAATCCAACATAAAAGAATGCAGCATAGCTTTGCATCATTAAACAAATATTCCACAGCATAAACAAATGTAACACATCTTAAACTAATATTCCACAACTATTACTCATAACAAGATTTTTAATTTTGGCGGAAATTTCTGTAAATGGTTTTCAATCTATATACAAGTGTCACAAGTATTTTATATAAGTTTAAAAAATCATAATGCTAAGAGAAATGATTTAAAATCTTTCTTAGTTTTGAAGAAATTAAATATCTTCATTTTTGTTTCCCAAGACACCGACTGCTTGCTAAGTGGGCTAAGGGTTTCCATGCTAGTAGAACACTTGCCTAGCCTCAGAGGCTCTGGGTTCAGCCCCCAGCACCAAACCACCAGACAGACAATAGACAGCTTGACTCCATATTATCATTTCTTTTGTTCTGAAATTTTATTAGTACTTGCAATCATTATTTGTGCTAAATTTGATTTATTTGTCTTGTATAGGAGCTGCCAATACTTACTGACCACCCCACTGGCATGGAAGTTAAGTAATCATTCCTCAATTAAAAAAAAAAACGAATAAAGCCATCCCCTGGCTTCTCTACTAGCGGTCTGTCCGTCTTTAGCAGAGCTGCTTGCATATGGATTGAAGCCTTCTGACTGTTTACATGTATGTGTCTGGATGCCGTCCCACAATTCTATAAGGAAACGTCTTAAAGGGTAGGTACTCTCTAACTCTGGACTCAGTTCAGTGCTTTCTTAACCTTAGCAAATATTTCTTCACTAAATAATGCCTGTGTGGTGGTGGGAGGAGGGGCAAGGAAGCGCACATGCAGCTCCAGCGAATGCCATTTCTTAGAAAAGGTTATAATGAGGTTTTTTTTTTATTGAGAACTCATGGGATTATTATTAGTTACACTAGTGGTTTTGTTGAATATTTGACGCTTTTACTCAAAAATTCTAGGAACAAATGAGGCCCACAACTTATTTATGAAAGCCATTTAGAGAATGACTCAGACTGTTGACACTTGGCAAGAGTAAAAGGGGAAAACATGAAGTTCTTACTGCACTTTCCAAACAGTTTATTTAAAAAATGGTGTCAAGGTTTCTTTCTTTCTTTCTTTTTTTTTTAAACAAGCACAGAATTGTGCAACGCGCTTTGTCGTTACTGCTCTGGTCTTTCAAAATGTCTGTAAGTCAGACCCCTCGTTTTACCTAAAATAAAAATATAGGCGCCAGTGTTTGCCGGAATACAATTACTTTGAAACTCGAAAGTGAATACATTTGGATTTTTTTTGCTAATGCTAATTTTATATTTTTACTTTAATCTGTTTCTTTAATTTTCATTTAAATAAGCCTATCTCTGAAATCAGAGTTAACAAACACTCTTTTGAAACCATAGTTTCTTCATTTGGGGCACAATTCTCCACAGGATGAGGTTTAACAGAAAGGATAGCGAAGACTTTGTCAGCATAAACTGTCACTCATACAGCACACACACACTCACACCACACACACTCACACCACACACACACACACGCACACACACACGCACACACGCATGAGACATATAATGCCACTTTAGAAAACAATTTAAAATCAAATATTCATTTTATAAGTCAATCTAAAGTAGTATTTTCCAAATTGCATTATTAGCCTTTTTTTTTTAAGGGTTTCTACTAGTTTATATTTTAGCAACAAGTAACAGAGTAACAGCCTAATAGTTCTTAGCCAAGAGCATCCATTTGTCAAACGTAGCAAAAGAGAACTGCTCCCTGGCAATGAGGAATGACAGGATTCTGGACTGATAGTCCTGTGGTTTGCTTTGTCCTCTCCTCATGGTAGCAAGATAAACACAAACTCTTCGAGGTCACAGCTGTCTTCAAAGGCGGGAAACAAGGCGCCACCAGACAGATCTTTCTATTTGCTTCTGTTTCCTGACAGGAAAAAGGTAATCTTTCTCAAGTCACCCATTTAGCAGATTTCCTCCTGCAAAAGTATGTCATAGGACTGGCCCTGACCCTAAGGGAAGTGAGAGAAATGAGTGTGGACTTTCACCTCTGTAAGGAAAAAAGGGTAGAGAATGGCTCTAGGGTAACCATGGTAACCATGTTGTATAACTCATATTTGGCTTTTGGTGAGTGATCCAGTGATCTTAAATGGAGTAAACTTCATGTATACAGTCACTTTTTTTTTTAACTTTCCCTACTAAATTCCATTCTCTTTGCCTCATTTCCTCAAAAATAGAAGTTCTTAGACTTCTTTTCAGCAACTGATATAGAATATGTTAATATTAAATCTACTGAAGAGAGAAATACACATGGTATCTAGCCAATCTGAAATATTTATTGAGCACCTAATGTGTACCAGACACTGTCCTAGGTTTTTAGCTGTATGTGGGGAAAGGGAGCCCTGAATCTTGCTGGAGCCTACATCCTAACAGACTATTCTCCACATTTTAAATGGGAGTAGGATTTTCATAAGTGTGAGTGAAAATGTGGACATGTGGATCTGTAAGTCTTGTTAGAGGAGCATCCAGTAGTTCGTGAGTGACAATGTAATCCTCCCTTACATTGGAAGCATAGGTGACTGTCAGGCTATAATGAATTATGACCAAGGAAATATGAATTTTGCCAGATCCGCTCAGATCTCTTATTAATACTTGCTAGCTTTCCTAGGGCCACTGACAGACACTTGACCATTCCTTATCTCAAATGGACTCAATGCATTTTCCCTGAAACTCGCGTTTCCTAATTTCGAAAATGGCACCGCAGTTTCCATTACTTGAAACCTGCTGGCCTCCTGCCCCTGATCTCACACCCGTCTAACCCATTCGCTCAAGAGCTCAAGACGTTTTCATTGTTATTGCTGCTGGTTGCTTATTTGTTTAAGAGAGAGCTCATTAAATAGCTCCGGCTGCCGGCTGCCGGGTAAATCACTCTGTAGACTAGACTGACCTTGAGTTTGCCTCTGCCTCCCGATTTCCAGGATTACAGCTGTGTGCAAACCCGTCAAGCTACTTTGACTTATCCCCCGAAAATTTATGTAACCCAGAAGTCATCTTTGAGCACAAAAGAAATATCTGTAAATTTAGGGCATGGGTTAGTTACATTTGTATCGGTTTGCTGCTGCTGTACAAGAAATTACCACAAAGGCAGAGGTGTTTATCACTTCACAGTTTCTGTGTGTCAGGAGGCCAGGCACAAAGTAGCAGGTTCTCTGCTGGGGTCTTACAGGACTAAATTCAAGGATTGACAGGTCTGTGTATGCATCTAGATGCCTGGCTGTGACAGAATTCGCCCCAACCTGACTCAGTTTGTTGGCAAACGTATTGGGTACGGTTGTAGAGCAACGGCTCTAGTTTGTTTCTGGCTATCAGCCGAAGGCTACTTCTCTTAGCACCAAGGCCTCTGGGATTTCCTAGAAGCCGGCCCAGTTAGCAATCTCTAGTGAATCGGCTGGCAACCCTGAAATGTGACCGCGGGAGTGACATCCAGGTGCTCTCAGCTCTACTGTGCTTCATTAGCTAGACAAACAAGTTACAAGCCCCACCTACTCTCCGAGGGCTATAAGTTCTGCAGAGGTGAACATCTGGAAACAGAGAACACAGGGAGCCAACTTGGAGTCTGCGCCACATCCTTAATCGCCTTCCCGTGTGTATTGAAGGCTTCGAAGTGAGGCTTAGTGTCCACCAAAAAGAAGCCGAAGAGAGCATCATTCAGCTAGCGCGCTTCCAAGGAGTGTGTCTTGGGCCACTTGGCTGCTTTCTCACTTGTGCCTTATTGCCACAGCTGTCCCAGGAAACCCCTTCTTCTCTCTACAGAAAGCGAAGCAGTCCAGCATTCCCCGCGTTCCACTTACGGGCTTGCGCGCACACATCTCTTCAGGGCTAAGCAAAACAATCCCGTTCACTCTCTTTATGAAGCAGTTGGAATTTACTTATAAAAGCTTTTTTTTAAATTAAAAAACCCCACCCCTTTGTTGCTTCTCTGTTGATGCATACTAAGAATAAGAACGTGGAAGCAATTCAGATTCACAAATGTGCCACATCAGACCCTGCCCCCCAAGTTTTGAGGAATTGTTTTTCAGGTTTTATAATTCAGAATGTTGGCGGCTACACTTCTTTCTCCCCATACTGCCAGACTTCTCCCTCCTTTCCTATCATATCCTCCCCTAGATAGCTCTGCAATACTCGTTATATCCGTGAAGCTTTCTCTCTCTTGATTGTGTAACTCCTAACACCCCGTATGGGCTGATAACTCAGATTTTATAACACTTGCATTAACTTATTTATATGCCTTGATCTTTTTGTGAAACTGTAAACGTCCCGCAAAGGTGATCACGGGACACACACTCACACACACATAAGTTCACACAGCAGAAGCACAACAGATGGAGCACACACCTCAAAGAGTTTACTGTGTAAGGTCATATGTTACGTCACTGGAGTAGAGGACAGGTCATCCAGGAGGACAGAGGGAGCCGTGCAAACCCTATAATGAAAATCCCAATAAACTTGCATTTACAGTGCCCCAAGTCTTCCAATATTTACAATTATTTAGTGTGTGTGTAGTGTGTAAGTGTGCCCTCATGCTAGTGCATTTGAGACACACTCCTGCCATAGCATAGATGTGGAAGTCAGAGAAGAACTTGGTTCTCTCCTTCCTGCCATGTCTGTTCAGGGATCAGACTCAAGTCCTCAGGCTTGGTGCTAAGTGCTTTTTCCTGCTGGTCCATCTTGTCAGCCCAGGTCCTTAGATACGTATATACTGCTTACATTTTAAGTACTTTCAAATTTTTCCCTAAAGGGGTGCAAATGTTAAGGAGGAATCCAGACTCTCCCTGCAGTCTAGTAAGACAAACTGTAGGCGAAAGTTTTATTGAGTTGAAAAATATTTCTAAGAACAAATTGAATTTAAATAAGCCCGAAATAAAATACTCTTCTTGATGGTTTGAGCAACTTGAATGATTTTCAGCATCTTTACAACTTAAATTTGTAAGTGCCTGTCAGAAATAGAACTTCTGTGGTGTTTGGGCCGTGTGGCATATGCTCATGGCCTTATTGCCGCCCATACGTTATCCAGTGGTGGTTCCTGAGTGAATTAAAGGCCATAATGTTCTAATAATGAACTAAAATGTCTTCAAGCTTGTGAAGTTATTCTGGGTCCTCATCTGAAAGGACACTGAGTGACTGCTGTGGCCCTGCTGCAGCTCCTGCTGGTTGGGCCACCTCTGATAAATGGTTCCCTAAAGTATTTGTGAGCTTTATGAATCTAGTATACTCTCATTTTTTGAGGATTAATTTTGGATTTAAAATACTATAATTTAGGATTAAATTATAAGCAAAATTCATCTTTATTTTTATGTCAAAATTCTTTCGCATGGAACAATTCTGTTTTCAGTATTCTTTCTTCCAAAGTAAATTTTTTGTTAAAATTGCGCACTGTTTGACATGTTGTGATAACAGGAAGAGAGGGGGAACCATGCTTCCAGTGGGTTTAGTTTATTAAGTTTTATTAATATATATCTGAAATAATAGTAAAAGTATTTTATATATTATTCAGAATGTATTAGAGGGTTAAGATTATGTTAATACTTTGTTGCTGTGGGGCGTTCACCAGAGAACTGCTCAGATATGGATTTAAGCCAATAGAAAGTCTTTATTAGCCTTCAACTACACTGGTGTTGGGGATCCCATGTGGCCCCCGAGCCTTTCTCAGGGTGAGCTTTTAAGCACAAAAACCATGTTCTGGGTTGACATACTTCAGTTAACAAGAACAGTTAGCCAGAAGCAGAACTACAGAAGCCAAAAATCAAGGTCATTACTGTTTGGTTGGAAGCATCACCCCAGCCCTTGCCATTCCCAATCCAAGGAGTCTGTAATGTTTGGGCGGAACTTTCCATCCCACGCCCCCTCCCCTGGGAGCTGCCACAGTCCAGACTCCACCTCCGCGAAAGCCTGCCAAATGGTGACCCCTCCCCAGAGAAGGTAAAGGCCACTCCCACAGGCTATTGAAACTGCCCCCAGAAACCAAACACATGGTCTTTCCAGTCTTCCTTTCCCTTCTCCGTGGTCTTCCCGGTCTTCCTTCCAGTCTTCATCCCTGGGGGCCTGGAAGGCCACCCAGGAGCGCTGGCATCCGTTAAACCTGGGCTTTTTCTATTTCGGTTTGATTTGGTTTGATTTGGATTGTTGCTTTAGCAGAGAGGTTTGTTGGGCCATAAAAACCTTTTAACTACATTTAGAGACTTTCCCATAATTGTGGACTTGATGGATTAGGCCTTTGTTTTCGTTTTGGCAGGTGATGCCATCTACATGTTGGATGGCGCTCCCATCATGGAGTCAGTTGGGCTAAGGTCTGGGGCCCCTTTACTGTATGATATGTTCCTGTTAAACTACTTTCAAATTATCTAAAAATGAAACAGAAGATTTTATTCACTCGGATCCTTGCAGCACGGCCTCTTGGGCACACTGCATGCCCTGTACTTTCTGTTTCTGTGTAAAGGAACTTCCCCAGAGTTCTCTGCTCCCTTTCCTACTTGGGTGGTGGCCAAGAGCTATGAATCCACAGATCATAACTGGGTGAGGCTTGTCTACGAAGTGACTGTAAACACGCATTCTTCCAACCACGGACTAAATAGTCCATTTTAAGTTCTGACCCAGCGACTGGTTAGGGGCAGAGTTAGGAGTTAGGAAAGGCAGCGGATAGCAGAAAGTATCGTTTCGATTGATCCAAAGCCCTCTCTGTCATTCTACAAGCAACTTTGTCAAAACTAAAGTAATATTTTTTCCCCTAGTTCCCAATGTCAGCTAGAGTAACTAGGATCTCCTGCTGTTCTGAAAAGCAGTGATCTTAAGTGGAATTAGATGGCTGTATTCACTGCGTACATAAATTCCCAATAAAAAGCAATATTCTTGTAAAGAGTGTATCTGCTTGATTTAAACTGCCACCACCGACGCTCTCTAAGGGAGAACTAAAGCTATGTGCATTTGATGTGACTTGGGCAATTTTTGCTTTTGTACGCAATTCTAGTTGTCATTTGCTCTTTATCTCTGACACGACCTATTTACCTGACAAGGCTAAGCCATCAGGAGACCATCCTGAAGATCACGGTGAGGGAAGGTGAACTTCCCACCACAGCTTTCAAGAAAGCTCCTGTGGTTCTTGCTACTTCTCATGGCGATTTGTTAAGAGGCAATCCAGCTGCCCTGTAGCAAGAAGGAAAAGGAAATACAAATGGTCTTAGGGTAGGAGCACCTGGCTAGTTTCCCAGGACATTGTTGATGCTCCCAAAGTCTGAAACATGAACTAAAAGTGATGCTTTTCCTTAGTGTGCTTGGGAAGCACTGTTCTGGATCCGGAAGGAAGAATTAGTTAGGTAAGATTTCATGTCACAAGCACACAAACAAGAGAAGTATTACTGAGGACAAATCTTTTTGAAAGAAAACCTCCCTCAAAGGCAGCAAATTCAATATCGTTCTATTTTCCCTGTGTCGCGTGTAGTCTTCTAGTGACAGCTGGAATGTGGGAGCTGAAAATGGGGAAAACAGAGTGAATTCCAATGCTGAGTACTTGTCACTAGCATTTCCTGCATTCCTAAAACGAAACGTGAAAATTCTGTGCGCCACATTCAATAACTTGAACTTCCAAAACATGTCTAAAGATGCTTTACATGTAGTTGAACACTGAATTTAAAACATAGAAGAATAAAATTGAGGAGCACCCAGGGCCAGGTTCAATCCTCAGAGTGTTTCTTAGCAGTTTTCTAGAATGTAGCATCTTTTTCTTTTATGTCTGTTTTGTAAAAATAGTGCAACACAGTAATTATACTACTTTAATAGTAATTTATATATTAAGAACGATAAATTAAAAAAAAACGAGGCAGGTGGTGGTGGTGCACGCCTTTAATCCCAGCACTCGGGAGGCAGAGGCAGGCAGATCTCAGATTTTGAGGCCATCCTGGTCTACAGGGTAAATTCCAGGACAGCCAGGGCTACACAGTCTCCAAAAAATAAAATAAAATAAAATAAAATAAAATAAAATAAAATAAAATAGAAAAACGGAGCGTTTAGGACTTAAGCAAATGGTAAGTGCTGGTGAATTATGTAACTTAATGCACGAAGTTACAAACAAAGATTTAAATATACTAGTTCTATACTTTTCAATAACACAGTGTGGAAGCTAGTACCTTTTAAGTTTACCTTGTATAAATTCTGCAGAAAGAATACAGGCTAGCATGTATCCTGTGATAATTAGCTTTAGGTGTTAACTTGTTGCGATCATAGCCACCTGGGGGGAAAAAAAGAAAGTCTCAGTGAGGTATTATTGTCTGCATTGTGTTTGCCTGTGACCATGTTTGCCTGGGATAGTTTTAATTTAGTTCATTGATATGGGGAAGACCCTGCTCACTGGGCATGGCACTATTCCTTATGCTATATAACTCTAGAAGAGTGGTGAAATGAAAGAGAACAAACAGGAAGTGACTGTAAACACATTAACTTTCTCTGCTTTTGACTGTGGATGCCATCTATGATTACAGTTTTGCCCTGACTAACCCACAATGATGAACTGGAACCTGACATTGTGAGACAATGAAACCCCTTCTCCCAAACTGATTCTTGTCAGAGTATCTTATCACACCTGCAAAGCCAAAATTAGAACATACATATATGTATATATAGCAAATATTTTCTATATCCGTTGCAAACAAAATAATTATTTAAGTTGAAGTAATAAATGTAATGACTGAGGCTGGAGATATAGTTTAGTAGCAAGGCACATATATGATCTTGGTGCTTTCCCAAAGTTATACAGTTTTCACTATACCGCACTGGAAACTTCTGTTCCGTTATATCTAGTCAAACAAATGTATACCAGAACATCTTCTGTTATTGCTAACCTATGTGACTTTTAAAAAGAAGATAAATGAACATATATTATGATTTCTATTTAGAAAAGTAACAGCTCTGAGTGTGGTGGGATAGGTTTATAATCCCAGTCCGAGACAGGAGGAGGATCTCAAGTTTAAGGCTAGCCTGGATTATATGGGGGAGACCCTACAGGGAGAACAGGGCAGGAATAAATAAAAGACAGAAATCTTATTCATATTATATAAATATAACTATATATACACACACATATAATCCTAGTCATATGTATATATAATTTAAAATACCTTGCTGTTGTTTTCCATATTAGAGAATGAACTTGGGGTCTTGGGATGTTAAGCAAATGCTCCACACTGAACTACATCCTTAGTCCTTAAAGCACATTGTTAAGGAAGTAGTACATAGAGTTTGGAACATTATTCTGAGTGTGGAACAGGAGGGCTTTAGTTTACAATCTTGGCATCTCTGATGTGCTGTCTAAAGATACACCCTCACAGATTCACACATTGCTCTCTTGGGTACCCATAGGGATTTTTATCCTTATCAACATTTCCTGGCTTCCTCTTCCTTCTGTGGACATTTGTGTGGAAGCCTCCATGATTCCACACCCCTTGCATTGTGTGCCCTCAGCTCCAGTATGGTCCATTTGGTTTTAGCAGCCCCAGGTGCGGCTGGATAGCTGAATGTGGAAAAACGGGATGCCTGGAGCTCTCTGTTCAAGCCAGGCTTTCAGATGCATCCTGGAATGTGTGGGCCTGGCACACTCCTGAGATGCCCTCAGGCATGTTTCCTGTTGTCCCAGTGCAAAAGCAACTTGCTTTGTTTACAATTACTCTACAGTCGTTAGCAGCCATGCTCTCCTTGCTACAACTTCAAACATGATTCCTTTTTAGGCTAATTGCTAGTTTTTCAAATCTTTCTGTTCTCCCCCCAACCCCATTCTCATTATAAATCTGAGCAGTACCTCTCTGTGTGCATGTCTATGGGAGAGTTGGGGGGTGGCAGAGGGTGGCAGGACCGGAGGTTGATATTGGGTATCTTTCCTTTATCACACTCCTCCTTGTATTAGACACAGGATCTCTTACTGAGCCTCTTGTTCAGCTCACTATTTTGTCTAGACTGACTGGCTCGTGAGTCCCTGGGACTTGCCTGTCCCCCTGCACCCTCCCCCTGCAGCACTGAGGTTACAGGAGCAACTGCCATGCCCAGTCTTTTATTTATGCAGCAAATGTCTTACCCACTGAAACATCTTCCCAGGTCCTCGAGTGCCTTTCTTCTTGTTCACACTTCTGTCAGCATTGTGGTCTTCCAAACACCTACAAGAATCAGCCATTAAGGGCTTCATACCACGTTCTAGGCTTTCCCTATCACCCTTCTCCAAACTCTCTCTATAAACCAGCACCAAAGGTTTAAGAACTACATCAGCGAGAGTAGTCACAGCAAAAACTCTGCTTTCCCCTTACCAGATTCCTGTACTACCTTTGTGTAGTCGTGAACAAAATTAACAGAACAGATGAGAAGAAAAAAATATTGATTTTTTTTCTCACTGTTTCAGAGGGTTCAGCTCATGGTGATTTGTCCCCATGCTCTGGGTGGCACATCATAGTGATAGAACAGTGTGTGAGGACTTCTTTACCTTGTGGTGAGCAAGAAGCCGAGAGCAATGGCAAAACACAGGACAAAGCCACATCCCCAGTGACCTACTCCTTCCAATTAGACCTTACCTCCTAAAGTTTCCAGAGTTTCCAAAAATAACTCCACTGTTTGTAGGCTACATGTTCAACATATGAATTTGCAGAAGGTATTTCACAGTTATACCATAAAAACGGGAGAGAAAGAGAAGCCTCTGTAGCATGGCAGGCATCTGGAGGAGCGACCGTTGTAGTCTTGGGCCTGTAGGCACCTGGAGGAACAATCACTGAAGGCTCTGCCCTGCCTACACTTGAAGGAAACATAACCCACAACTACAGCAATTGAAGGAAAGGGGACACCCCCAAAACACAGGCCCCGCCTGTTCTGATTGGAGATGGGCAGACAACAGGGTTAGAATGCACTCAACAACACAGAGGAACAACACAGCACCACCAGGAACTAGTGATTCTACAACAGCCAAGCCTGAACATCCCAACTCAGATGAAGCAGAAGGAAATTACCTAAAAATAAGTTTTTGAAGATGATTGAGGTCCTTAAAGGAAATGAAAAATTCCCATAAAGAGGTGGAAGAAAAGACAAACAAAAAATTGGAAGAAATCAACAAATCCCTTAAAGAAAACCAAGAAAAAACAATCAAACAGGTGAAAGAAAAGGGTTCAAGACCTAAAAACTGAAATAGAGGCAATAAAGACAACATGAACTGAGGAAAATCTGGAAACGGAAAATCTGGGTAAATGACTAGGAGCTACAGAAGCAAGCATAAATAACAGAATACAAGATATGGAAGAGAGAATCTCAGGTGTTGAAGACACAATAGAGAAAATAGATTCATTGGTCATAGAAAACGTTAAGTTCAACAAATTCTTAACACAAAACATCCAGAAAATCTGGGACACCATGAAAGGACCAAACCTAAGTATAATAGGAATTGAAGAAGGAGAAGAAGTACAGTTTAAAGGCACAGAAAATATATTCAACAAAATCACAGAAGAAAACTTTCCCAACCTAAAGAAGGATATACATGTGAAGGCACAAGAAGCTTATAGAACACCAAATAGATGGGCCCAAAAAAAAAAGTCCACTTACCCCATAAAAATCAAAACACTAAGCATACAGAATAAAGAATATTAATAACTGCAAAGGAAAAAGGCCAAATAACATATAAAGGCAGACCTATCTGAATTACACCTGACAGATTAGATATAAAAACAGAATCTATCCTTCTGTTGCATATAAGAAACATGTCTCATCTACACTGACATTATCTCAGAGTAAAGGGTTGGGAAAAGCTTTGCCAAACAAATGGACCTAAGAAACAAGCTGGTGTAGCTGTCCTAGTATCTAACAAAATAGACTTCAAACTATAGGTAATCAAAAGAGATGAAGGCCATTTCATATTCCTTATAGGAAAAAAAAATCCGTCAAGATGAAGTCTCAATTCTGAACATCTATGCCCCAAATATAAGAGCACTCTCATTTGTACAAGAAATATTACTAAAGTTTAAATCACACATCAAGCCCCACACACTAGTAGTGGGAAACTTCTATACCCCACTCTCACCAATGGATTGGTCTGTGTAACATGAGGGGGCCTGCTTGTTTGGGGTATCTATCTTGCCCAGTACCCCAAGCCAGCAAGCCCCAAGAAAATCACTCAAAGATCTCTGTAAGTTATAAAGATGATTGGCTCATTAGGTCAGGCTTCTTACTGGCTAACTCTCACATCTTGATTAACCCATTTTTCTGATCTATGTTAGCCATGTGGCTCAGTACCTTTTTCAGTGGGGGCAGCTTACATCCTGCTGTTTCCGTGGTCTGGGCAGGAGTGGGAGGAATCAGCTTCCTCCTTCCCAGAATTCTCCTGCTCTCCTTGCATCATTTCCACTTCCTGTCTGGTTTTCCCACCTACACCTCCTGCCCAGCCAATCAGCGTTTATTTAAAACATGATTGACAGAATGCAGACAGTTCTCCCGCACCACTCCTGCCCAGATCTCCGAAGCAGCAGGATGTGATCTGCCCAGCTGAAAAAGGTACTGAGCCACATGGCTAACATAGATCAGAAAAATGGGTTAATCAAGATATGAGAGTTAGCTAATAAGTAGCCTGACCTAATGGGCCAATCAGCATTATAACTTATAGAAATCTCTGTGTGGGTGATTTTCTCTGGGACTAAACAGTTGTGGGGACCTGGTGGGAGGACAGAAAAACCCCCAACAAACAGGCCCCTTCATGTTACAGGTCTGCCAGACAGAAACTTAACAGAGAAATAAAGGAACTAACAGATGTCATGACTCAAATGGGCTTAACAGACACCTGTAGAACATTTCACCAGAACAGAAGAATATACCTTCTTCTCAGCACCTTTTGGATCCTTCTCAAAATTTGATCATAGACAAATGTAACAAAGAAAACCTCAACAGATACAAAAAAATTGGAATAACCCCATGTATTTTTATCAGATCACCATGGCTTAAAATTAGAATTCAATAGTAACACTAATTTCAGAAAGCCCACAAACACATGGAAATTAAACAATGCTCACCAGAATCACCAATAGGTTAAGGAAGAAATAAGGTGAGAAATTAAAGACTTCCTAAAATTCAATGAAAATGACCACACAACATACCCAAACTTTTGGTGCACAATGAAAGCAGTATTAAGAGGAAAGTTCATAGCACTAAACACCTACATAAAGTTGGAAAAAAATCCCACACTAGCAAATTAACAGATACCTAACAGCTCTAGAACAAAAAGAAGCAGACTCACCCAGAAGGACTGGATGACAGGAAATAAAGGATATAATCAAATTGAGAGCTGAAATCAGCAAAATAGAAACAGAAAAAAATACAAAGTATCAATGAGACAAAGAGTGGGTTCTTCATAAAAACTGACAAAACAGACAAACCTTTATCCAAACTAACCAAAAGCAGAGAGAGAATATCCAAATTAACAAAATCAGAAATGAAAAGGGGACATAACAACAGACACAGAGGAAATAAGGAGAATCATCAGGTCATACTTCAAAAACCTGTATTTTATAAAATTGGAAAACTTAAAGAAAATAGACAATTTTCTGCATAAATATCACTTACCAAAATTAAACCAAGACCAGATAAGGAAATTAAATAGACCTGTAACCCCTAAGGAAATAGAAACAGTCATCAAAAGTCTCCCAACCAAAAAAGCTCAGGACCAGATGGTTCCAACACAGAATTCTACCAGAATTTCAAAGAACTAATATCAGTATTCCTCAAATTGTTCCACACAATAGAAACAAAAGGAACATTGACAGACTCTTTTTACGACACTACATTACCCTGATATCCAAACCTATCAAACAAAGACACAACTAACAAAGAGAATTACAGACCAATCTCCCTCGTGAACAGTGATGCAAAAATACTCAATAAAATACTGGTAAACCAAATCCAAGAACACATCAGAAAAATCATACACCATGACCAAATAGTCTTCATTCCAGAGAGCAGGGATGGTTCAACATACAAAAATCTATCAATGCAATCCACCATATAAACAAACTGAAAGAAAAAAAACCCCACATGATCATCTGGTTAGATGATGACAAGGCCTTTGACAAAATTCAATACCCCTGCAAGGTAAAGGTCTTGGAGAGAGCAAGGATACAAGGAACACACCTAAACATAATAAAGGCAATACACAGCAAGCCAACATTAAACTAAATGGAGAGAAACTCAAAGCAATCCCACTTAAAACAGGAACTAGACAAGGCTGTCCACTCTCTCCATATCTGTTCAATATAGTTCTTGAAGTTCTAGCTAGAGCAATAAGACAACAAAAGGAGATCAAGAGGATACAAATTGGAAAAGAAGTCAAACTTTTGCTATTTTCTGATGTGGAAGTATATAAAAGTGTTGGGTCCAGAGGAATCACACAAAGATGGAGACAGACTACCAAAGTCTAATAAACCAGAAGCAAACTTCATTCCAGAAACCAGATTCCAGGAAAAAATAAAAAGTATCTACAGAGCACAAAAAGCTTATCAGTTATCTGAGACCACAGCCAGAGACGGACCTGTAAGGCAGTGGCAAAGGCCAGTTTCTGAAACCACCTTTTTATACTAGGGGCACCAGGCATTAGGTCTGAACAAAGGAACTTTTACAATCTGGAGGTAAAACTCAGATACAGATTGCCTTACTTTATAATCTTCATCAACAGAGTTTTTCAGTTAAACTAGTGTTTGCACTTAATCCCTTGTCTTCCTTGGTACTTTCAGGTGGTGTTTACTGAAGCCTGTGCTCTCCCCTTTGATGCTGTCAGTTTCACATAGCAGGGATAATGCATAACTCAGAGGTCATATATCTATCTCCTAAAACTTAACTGAGCGCATATCTGTGTTAATCCCGGGGGGGGGGGGGGGGGTTAGGCTCTCAGTTTGCAGAGAGATGCTTTGGTCTTGTAAATAGAGCTGTGGGTTGTAAAGTGGAGTAACCCACTGTTAATAGTTAATCCTCAAGCTGCTGAGAAAGCTGCTGACAGTCTGTTTTCATTCTCCTAGGCTTACAACTTTATATTTATTTATTTCTACAGTCTTATTTTTGGAATCTACATTTTTATATTCTTATTCTTGGACCCTTCAATAAGTGACCTCAAAAATTCTACCAATTTTTA